AATTGATGGTATTTTAACCAAAAAGTGAAAGTTACATGTTTAAATAAGAATTTGAATTTATAAAGGAAGAGAAATAAATTAACTATTGTGCCGGCCAAGTCATCGTATATTCATTCAATTCATCAATATTTTGAATTTTCCTTTGTTATATTATAAATATTTATTTAAAGGGGCCACAAATAAAATTAATGGAAAAAGAATAATATAGGTGATATGGTGACAGGTGGGTGATAATTGCAACACATGGAACATGATGGTTGGAGATGGGGTGGCAGCATCATAAATCATATGGATCACTTACACCAAATTTACTTCTCCAAAACAATAATAATAATAAATCCAAATAATTCTTTTTTTTTTTTTTTTTAATTTCACTTTTTGATTTCCCTTTTTCGTACATTACACCCTCTCATTAAATTAAACCCATCAAAATCTTATTACCTTGGCTCGCCACTCATCAATTGCTTTTTTTTCTTTCATTTTTCTTGTTTTCTAGGATAGTAAAAACATCAACCCTTTGAATTTTGAGGTTTTTTTTCATACAACATGCGAGATGGAGATGGGGATTGTGAATCTGAACTATGCTCGTTTTGACGATTCTTTCTCAAACCTATAAATCAAACACATGAATTACATGAGCTCAAGACTTTATATCATCCTAGCTATACTTTCACAATTCATAAAGTCTATATGAACCAAACACAAAATACATGAACTGAAGTATATCCTGTTCAAATATGAGCTCCAATGCAAACTTCTTAATCTTAACTAAAATAGACTCGAGTTTTCTAAACCTGTGAAGTAAATACCTCTTAAACGAGTTTTTTTTATTTGATTTAAAACTTGTGTCAACACCCAAGCCTCTTGCCACTGTGCCAACACCCAAAGGTGTGATCAAGACGTTATTCATTCTTGTTTAAGATCGGAGGTTCATATACCTCTCATCTCTCGCCTCTCGGTGGAAAAAAAAACCTAATATTCTATCTTGCCTCATCTTATCCTCGTATCTCCATAAAACTTTTTTCTAAGTTTGAAACATAAATCACTTTACATTTTATTTACCAATTCCATGCTAAAATTGAAAGGAAAAAAAAACGCATTGCATTGTAAATAATGAGAAAATAATTTTCTAAATTAGATGAACATAATTGTTGAACATTCTTTGAATCATGGGCGCTAAAGATGTACTATTTTGACTTGGACCATATTATTCTTTCCAATGAAATTCACTTTCCAATTCCTTAGGATTCCAATCATCAATTCTCAAATTAATGAGTCTATTATATCCAAGAACTAAATTTTATTTAAATAAGAATTCAATTTATCCAATTTCATAGGATTCCAAATACAATAAATGAGAGAAAAACTATTTATATTTTCCTGGTACATTTAGGTCTTTCAATATGTTAAATAAATTACATCCTTCTTCCCTACATATGTACTAGTTTTTAATTATTTGTTTGGAATGTCTGAAAATAATAATAATAATAAGGGAATAAGGGAATAAGTCAAACCCCTAATTGATTAGTCAATAAATGGGTCAAATGATCAAGCTGCACCTTCCACTATGACGTAATATTAGGCTTCAATCTTATTTAAATTCACCTATATTTTTCAAATTTAATTTTGATCTTTATATACATTAGAATGTCTTTTTAGTACAACAACAACGTAGAGACGAAGAATTTCCGACCTCCAGAGAATAAATATGTATCTTAACTATTGAGTTATATTTCATGTTGACTAATAAAAATTAGAATTAATTTCAGACCCTGAACTTTGATCCATTGTTACTAAAATTGTCCGTATATTAGTATATATTATAGGGTGCGCATGCTTTTCGAAAATTTAAAATTAGAAAAGAGAGCCCATTATCAAATAATTACAAAATTGAAACAAGATAAAATTAAAAGGAAAGAGTTGGGGGAGGGTTGTAAATGTAATGGCTTAGGGATATCAGACTATTGATGTAGAGAATACCCCATGGACTTTATATTTATAAATGGCTCTCAGCTACTAGGCCTTCTCTAGACCTCATGTATTTTTAGTGATAAAATTATTAACAATGGGCTGATCCATTCAACATTATATTCTATACTATACACAAAGTCTTCGAAAAATAATCCCTTCAATTATTTTTCCTTTCTCTCGCTCATTTTTATAGTTTTTCTAGTTCAATAAATAACAGAGGTAGAGATCGAACCACAAATCTTTAAGATGAAAATAGACAATTTATCTACTGAATTATGCTCGAATTTGCTGAAGTATAGTTTATGTTTTATGAAAGATAGTTTGTTGTGTATATTATATAATTTTGGAGTGCAAAAATGGCGTGAGCTTGCAACTGCGGGTGTGGCGGAGCGGACTCGAGGCCGGATGGGAACACCTCTCCCACCCCAGTTTGAGTCCCACGGTGCGTTCTGGGTGAGGGTTTCTACCTAGTGTCCAAGTCGAGTCCCCTCCTGTCAATTATATTGTGGGGTGATATATATCTGCAGTTACCGCCTCGGATTATAGGGATCCAACTGGTAAAGTCACACAACATCGATTTTTTGTTCAAAAAGAAAATGGTGTGAGCTCATAAGTGCAAGGTCTACCGGAGAAGAAGGAAGAAGGAGGGAATAGAGAAAAAAAAGGATAAGGGAGAAGATTATATAAAATGTATTTTTGCCACGTCAACAGTCAAAACAACATAACATAATATAAATAAAATTAATATATTTTTACCAACTAATTTAAAATTGCCACATAATCATAGTCCAATAAATATTTAACTGCCACATAAGTATTTTGTTAGGGTCAACTAATGATCAAAGGGTTTGAAGGACCATTTAGAACCATTTATTAAACTTCAGAGACTAAAAGTGTTCATTTTGAAACTTCAAAGACTAAATAGACACTATTTCAAATCTCAGGGACTAAAAATGTATTTTTTCCTTATTATTGAGGTAAAAAACATATGAGGGTGAGGATTCAAATCTCCTTTTTTAGTACAATATGAGGGGTGAGTGATCGAACTCGTCGGAGATATATATCAATTACTGCTGAGCTATGTTCGTTTTGATTCAAATCTTCTACTTTTTTAGTTATTGACATATGGGGCTTAGAATGACTTATATTTTTGTTTATTTTTTTTTAATTATCAAGAGTATTATATGATTAAAGGGATTATATGATAAGTTTATCTAATTGGGTATGTTTGGTAATTTTTCTAAAATGAAAAAAGTTAATGTTTATTGATGAATCTTTTACGTTACTTTGTTTTARTAAATACTTTTGAAGCTATAGTCATATTTCAAGAAAAAAAAAGGACTCTCAGAATTTGCCTTTTTAGGGCTTCATCATATCACAAATATTTTTGTTTCATTTTTGTGAATTAGATGATTTACTGATAATTTATCTATTTTATTTTTGTATTTTGAAATATTAGTTACATTTCAATAATAACAAAAAATGTTCTTACCCATTAAGCATCCATATTTTCTAAATATATAAAACTAAACATTAAAAAAAAAAGTTTAATGACCAAGCTCTTAATTTATAAAATTTAGCTAAGGATTTTTAGAATGGCAACCTCATATAAATACTACAAATATAGTAATATTAATAAGCATTTCCTAATTTAGAAAAAGCCCAAAAAGATAACTTCATTATATTAATCTTCAATTATTTATTCATTAAAACGATGTATATTTGTATTTCTGATTTTTCAGCTGAAAAAAACGATGTATTTGTAACTCTCAATCCAAATATTACATTTGATTAGTATTATTTGATAAAGAAAATCCAAATATTATAACACCTTTTAAGGAAGAAATTACAAAAACAGCATAATAGAAATACTATATTACATTTATATAACCCTCCTTTCATTTTTAGAAAAGCAATAAAATACAAAATAATATCAGTTTTTTACATGCAAAATAATATTATGTCAAAAAGCCAACTAAAGGTGCTATTATATTTAAATACTATTTTGGTCCATGTTGGCTTTTGGTTCCTTATAATTTCTATATTTTCAAAATGTTCATTTTTCTTATCTTTACTTAAATTTTTTTTTTATTTTGATGTGGGTATTTTTCAAACGTCAATTTTAGTTCTTGTACTTTTAAAAAGTGATAATTTTATTAGTCATATTATTTTTATCTCATTTATTTACATTAGAATTTTCCCATGACATTTAACTCGTTAAATTTCTTGCAATGTAGTTATAAAATTTGTATTAAATAATTTTTAGCTAGTTTAAAATTTGTGTTAAAATTTTACAAATAGAGATCAAATTGTTCCCTTTTTAAAAGCACAAACACTAGAACGAACATTTGAGAGTAAAAGRACTCAAATGAACAAAAATTGAAAGTATAATTGACAAAAGGAGTGTTTTGACACCAAATTACCAAATTAAAAAAATATATGTACCAAAATATTATTTAAACCTTAAAAATGCATCATTAACTATACTGTAGTTTAAGAATTATCTCTTATGTCAGGTATTGTTGTCTATTTCTAACATATTGAACGTGAGATTATCTCAAAGGTCTTTCTTAGAGATCGGAGGTTGAAGCCTCCAACCCTACATTTGCTGTACTAAAAAATAAATATTGAAAATTAATTAGCTTCTTACCAATTAATCGTGTTCTGGCCGACCCTAAACTAAAAGAGAGAAATACAGMCATAAAGATTTTTTTCAGAGAAAATAATAAGCTTTTAATTTTTCAATATCGGTGAGAAGGAGAACAGAGTATAGTACTCACGAGTCACAAATAAAGAATGAAAGTATTTTCCTTCCCATAAATATTTTTTTTTCAGAGTTAGAAAGAAACAAGAATTATTGAAAAGGAAAATAAAACTCACTATACAGTATTCCATATGTAACATTCGCACGTGCGAAGGAGCATGTAGAGAGAGAGAGAGAAGTAGCTTGAGGTGAAGCAGGCGAAGGATCCAATGCAACCACAAACCTCTCTTCAGTTGAAAGTTGAAACCGTTTTGCATCGCTTTCTCTCTCTTCTCTCTGACAGAATCACAGCCACAGGCATTCCCCAATTTGTAAGCTACGCAGCTGAACCAACAACGCAACCACAAACCTGCGTTTCATAAATACCGTTTCCTTTCTCTATCAATCAATCCATCAAATCATCCCAATCGCAATCCCAATCCCAATCCCAATCCGATCCTCTCTCTTTGCAACGTAACTCTCCATCGCAATCTAATCATGGCCTCGCACTTCCAAGAAATCTCCCTCTCCCCATCGCCGCAGATTTCCTTGCCCTCCATTTCTCCAGAATCATTCCTCCTCAATTTGGAAGACGCCAACAACCAGATCGACTTTCTTTTCGCGCTCAACACTAATCAGCAACAAGCACGACGCGACGATTCCATCTCCGCCGACGACGACGGCTTCAGAACGCCGACCTCTTCCGATCACAAGATTCCGGTGATTAAACAATGTCCGCCGGCGCCAAGAAGGCCGAAACCGATCTCCTGCCGCTCGAGAAGATCGTCGCCGAGACTAGCATCCGGCGTTCGCAGAGGTTTCAGAGTCTATATCTCCGACGAAATCGTCGAGTCGATCTTCTCCTCAAGTTTTGCGCACCAGAAGATGAAGAAAGCTCGGAGGGACGATCATGAAGATGAGTGAAATTTTGAAAAATCATGCGAAGAGTGCAAAACGACGACGGATAGTGGACCAGCATCCAACAAAAGTCACGATAGATGTGAAGTCCCACGTAGGTTTGTTTCTACCTAGTTAAGAGAGCCCTATTGCTCCTCAAAAGAAAAAATATATTTGGATATTTTCCAATTTCCATATGGGTTCTATAGTCAATTATGTGATCCTAGATTTTCATCTTTTTTAAATAGTTTATTTATTCGTCTCAAAACCTAGTATATACATTTCTCTATCCATCCTCCATATGGGATTATTGGAGCATAGATTGATCTCGTTTGTGCATTCCTACGTACCTACTTAGTTGTCACATTATATTACARCGACTCATCAAAATTTGTCATTTCTTAGTACAACAAAGATAGGGTGAGTAACGAGAAAAGATGTCGTTGTTTTAACGGTTGAACTATGTTTATGTTGACCAATCAAATTTTGATTCAATTTGTGTACTCTTTTTTAGGTTTTATCCTTTGAGTACGTATATTTGATAGCAACCTCAATATCAATAGGACCTACCAGCAAAGTTAGTTATAATGAAGTATATTCATAGATATCCATATTTTAGATTGGAAAAGTGATCAATTTTTTAACATTAACAAGTGGGTACTATAATTCAAACGTTGCATGCTTATATAGAGTTCATAAGAAATCTAGTTGATGAGCAGCTTTACTTTGCATCGTGGGTAAGAATTCTACCCTAATTTGCTCCCTAAAACGTCTATTTATTGAGATTGGAAGTAATTTAGTATTGATCATTATTTACCAGTAGAGAATGGAAGAAAAGTTAAATTATTTTACTAAAAGAAAAGAAAGAGAATCATGAAACAGCTGATGGGTATCGTCATTGATTTAAAGAGATGATCAGTAAAGTATGTTGGTTTGGATTTTGATGACATAGATTTTAGTGCAACACACTTGAATTTTAAGTACAGCACTGTAAATTATTTTTACCCGTGAAGGCCAAGGGGGGGACTAATAAGTAATAATAATAATATATCTTTGCCTTTTATGCATGTTTTATCCCTCTCATAATTTAATCACATTACCACCAAAAAAAAAAAAAAAAAGAAACGTGATTCTTTATTACATGACAGGATCTCTCTTTCTCTTTCTCTCTCTTAATGAATCAAACAGATTTTCTCCTATTTATATAAAAGAACCCCATTATAAAACAATAATCAAGTAAACAACACGTTCAATATATTTTTTTATTTAAATTAACTTGAGATGGCACAACAACAAAGGGTTGAAATGATTTTCTAAATTTTAAGTTCGAATTCTACGTTGGTCATAATGTTGCTCAACTTAGAGATCCAAAATTATAAAGAATCAATCGAACGAGATGGAATCGATTTTGAGAAAATAAAAAATAATAAATTTTTTTTGTAATTCAACCACGGCTGGATATGGTTAGTGATTTATCAACTTAAACTAGGTTTAGATTGGTCCATAAGTCCAATATTTGAGTTACCTAATAATGAACCATAAGAATCTAAAAAATTATCTTATCAAGTGGTACGTGAGTATAACTTTATAATGACTTAAGAAAAAAAAAAAACTCAATTAAAAGTAAATAAAATTAATCTGGGAAATAGTTGCCAGAGCACTTGGACCAAGTTTGTTCAATCCAAGTTTTACATTAGAAAAAGTCGCAAAATTTTATGGGCAATAAAAGAGATTGAGTTTGGTGAGATCTACCATATCTACTCCCAAAACGTGTCTTTGTCGCTTAGATACCTGACTTTTTTTTTATACATAGGAACTCTTTTATTTAATATTAATTTTTTTTAGTACAATAATTATTAAGGGATTGAACCCCATAGAAAAATACCTTTACTCATGTTGACGCGTTTAATATTGATTTGTTAATGGTATAAATCATAATTCTATAATCACTCAAAATTAATTCATGTAATGATGAGCTTGTTGGTTTGATAGAAATATTTTGGTCCAAATCATGTAGTAGTTGAGAAAAGATGTTATTTTTTTATCTTCCTCTTTTTAATTCTTAACTTAATGCATGTTATTGACGCGGTGGAATTATAAATAAAAAGACGTAATTTAATTATCCTATGGTTAAGGATTAAATAAATGAATATTGATTCTATTTGACATTGAAATTTACTAAGCTTCAGAAAAGAAAATTATCACTAGTTTCCAAACTTCTAGATTTTATAAGGAAAATGGAAAATGGAAAATTCAAACTCATTTTATCATCAAAACTACAACGAAGAAGGTTGACAAGCACAATTGAGTCATTGATTCCAACTTCATAAACTGTTTTTTCTTTATTTATTTAGTACAATAAATATGAAGATGCGAAAATTTGAACATTCTTTATTTTAAATGAGTAGATGTTTTTAAGAAGGGAAAAAACTGCAAAAAAAAAATATATATATAAGGAAAATCTTGAGTAATGGGCCAACTCATTGAGGCCCATGGTATAGGCCCTCTAAATGGCCGTTGTCCGTAGCCTACATGTGTGTACGGTAAAGTGGGTATGAGGGGGAAAAAAGGGTTAGGGCTTTTCCTTTCTTTTGTTTTTTTGTTTTTTTTTTGGTGAAAAGAAAAAAAGATAGATTAGTAATTTTCGTAATTATTATAATATAAATAATTATCGTAAATGGACTGATTACACTTTTTTGAGTTAGTAATTATCGGAAGGATCAAAATTTCATCTTTTGGAAATGAAATAAATTGTGTACATTTACCTACAAATTAGATATAATATAACATAATGATTCAATCTATATAATGCTAAGCTTTAGGTGCATTAATGTGATGTCAATTTTTATTTTTGAAAATAAGTAATGTAATGTCATATTTATTATAAGATAGGTTGGTTGATTTGCTAAAAGAAACCAAAAAACAAAAAAGATAGATAGAAAGATAGGTTGGTTGATACATGTATTGGGTAGGAAAATATTATGTAATAAATAATAAATTAATGACAGTTACTAAAATTATTATTTTTTAAAAAGTTAAGAACTAAAATAGGATTTTTGAAGGACGGAAATACAAATATAATATTCTAGAAACCAAAAGAAGATTTAAACTAAAAGTATAAATTGTTATCTTAGGCTCCTTTTATCATGTTCTTTATTTTTAAAAATTATGTTTGGTTCTTCTAAGTTTCTTTAATGTGTTTATCAAAATTCTCAAGCACATTTGAATTTATAGACAATTCTAAAAAATAAAGTAAGTTTTTCAAAACGTTAAAAAAGTATATAATGAAATAAAGAAATATTGAGGTAAAAGTACGTTTATAAGCTTAATTTAAAAAACAGAAACAAATACTAAATATTAAATAGTGATGCTTTAGCAAATTTTTTTTTCTTCTCTAAAAAAATTAGCCAAATTGGGATACTACGAAAATTAAAAATAAAATAAAAAAAAGATAAAAACATGGGAGAGCACTAAGCACCAGACGTGCAGGGATGTAATAAATACCGTTGACCGTTTCCATTTCCTCCAAATAAAATTGTAACGGTAAACGAACCCTTGATTTCCTCTCTTCCACTTTTCTTCCCCTTTCTCTCTTGAGAGCAAAATAAAATTAAAGAAAAAAACAGCCAAAAATAAATTAAAGCTGAAAAAATATTTTTTTTTTCTTTTGTAAAAATATAAAATAAAAAGTCAAATACGAGTTGGAGAATTTCCTTTCTTCCTTCTTAGTTCTTTCTTCTACCTTTTTTTTCCTTATTCTTCTTCTTCTTCTTCTTCTTCTCCCCTTGGAGTTTTGCCTTTCCACAGCCTGCAAAAATGGAGCGCAAGAAGACGATGACGATGAACTGGGACGGACTCCGGGACGACGACGACGACGACCGGTTTTTCGAGTCCATCGAGAGAATGTCATGCGCCGTGCCGTCGGATTTGGCTTCCTCTTCCGACGAGGACGATTTCGAGGACAGTCGAATGTCCTTCGCATCCGTCTCCACCAAACACGACGAGTTCAGAGCCTTCGCAATGGCCGGCCAGATGACGCCGGAATATGACATTTGGATGGCCGCACCGGGATCGATTAAGGAGCGTCGAAAGCGATTGCTCGAAGGAATGGGCCTGAACAGCGGTAAACAGTTACAGAAGCTCAAGAGCAGGGAATTCCAGCGGGAAGTTTCAAGGAAAATCGCGATCACTCAAATTTCACAGCCGGAACCCGTCGGCTCTCCCGAAGTAGATCCGAAGCAAGATCCATCATCGCAAACGCCATTGCCGATCGTGCTCGTCCGCTCCCGATCCGACGGAGATATCGACACGTTCTCGATTTCCAGAGGACGCAAAGACGATCTAATCGGGAATATCTCGAAGCAGCGCCTCACGAGAACATACTCGATGATATTAGCGTCAAGTGCTCGGATGTGTAATTATCCTGATTCGGTGAGAGTTCCGAACGAATGCGGCGAAACCATTAGGCAAGGACCGACGTTATCGACCGTGTTCTCGAACAACAGGTTAGGCGCATTTTTTCTAATCAAGAATCTGGATACAGGAAAGGAGTTCATCGTGAATGGATACGACGAAGACGGAATGTGGAATAAGCTCAGCGATATCCAAACAGGAAAGCAGCTTACAATGGAGGAATTCGAGAAATGCGTCGGATATTCACCGGTGGTGAAGGAATTGATGCGAAGAGAGAACGTGAGAAACGGATTCGGGAGCAAGATCAACATGAACTCGTATCTCTCGAAGAGCTTGAGAATGAGCAAGAGAAGAGGAGCGGCTCTATTGAAGAACATCAAGGGCTCAATGACAGGTCTAATGGGAGATCAAAAGGAGAGGGAAATGTCTGCAATGTCGCTGGAATCGAAACCTAGCAAGAACGCATCGTCGTCCTGTCCTCCTTCTCCTTGCCCTGCTGCTCCTTCTACTCCTTCCTCGTCTTCCACGCCGTCGTCGTCAGAGTGGGTAAAAGTGCGGCAGAGCGGCAGATCGTACAAGGAACTTTCGGCGCTGCATTTCTGTCAGGAAATTCAGGCGCATGAGGGCTCAATCTGGACGATGAAGTTCAGTTCCGACGCGCGATTGCTGGCGAGTGCGGGTGAGGATCGGGTGATTCACATATGGGAAGTGCAGGAATGCGAAGTTATGTCGATGAAACCCAACGAAGAAGGAAGCCTGACGCCGATTCACCCTTCGTTTTGTCCATCCCCGGATAGATCACCTGGGATTGGGGATGTTTCTGCTCTGCCATCTGAGAAGAGGAAGAAGGGGAAGGGCCTCTCCGGGAGCAGAAAGGGGAATGTGATTCCTGATTATGTTCATGCCCCTGAAACTGTCTTCTCTCTATCGGAAAAGCCAATCTGCTCTCTGAATGGCCATCTCGATGATGTTCTTGATCTCTCTTGGTCCTCTGATTCTCAGGTCAGCTTTTCCTTACTTTCTCCACAACAGAACAACACAATTAGCTTTTGTTGTAGGCCCCAATATGCATATATATATTTGATAACTAAAATGGGTTGATGTTGCTGCCACTTTAGCTGCTGCTTTCATCTTCAATGGACAAAACTGTTAGGCTTTGGGACATGGAAAGCAAGAGCTGTTTGAAGATGTTTGCCCACAACGATTATGGTAAAAAAAAACGACTTTAACTGTATAACTTGTCTGAGATTGAGAGGAAATTTATGACTATTTTTCTTATGGGGTTTGTTTTTTTCTTTACAGTGACTTGTATACAGTTCAACCCGGTAGACGACAACTATTTCATCAGTGGATCACTTGATGCAAAGGTGAGGATATGGAACATCCCTGATCGATATGTGGTGGATTGGACTGATCTTCATGAAATGGTCACCGCCGCTTGCTATACTCCCGATGGCCAGGTTACCATCCTCCTCAATTCTCATTCTCCAATTGCATTAATATATATATATATATATATATATGTAGTCTTGGGTTTTGTTTTGTCTTTTTCTTACAAAATGTTGGTCTTATAGCCACTATACTATCCATAATCAATTTTTTGTTGTGTTAGTACTTGGTAGATTCATTCATTTATATTTTGATGTGTTTATTTCTAATAGTAATATTTGGATTCTAATTCTAGGACCCAGCAAAAGATAAATTGTCTTGTTTTCAAATTCTAAGTCGGCCGTGTAAAAAATATTAAAAAAGTTTAAATTTTATTTTAGTCTTCGTAACTCGATTTATTATTTTAAAACGTTTATTTTGGTCTACGTACTTTTAATTTGTATCCATTTTAGTTCATATTCCATAGCAACGTCTATTTTAGTCCCTATACTTTTTTTTTTTTGAAATGTAGTCATAAATGTATATCAAAGAGTTTCTATTGTGTATAAAAATGATGTTAAAATTTACAAATAGCAACTAAATTGGTCACTTTTTTAAAATGCTACGACAAAAATGAACATCTTTAGATTTTCAAAAAATTAAGAGAAATTGCAGTGGGTATATCACATACATATTTTTTTACATTTTAAAATATGTAAAAAATATACTCATATCGGTAGTATATTAGACGTATATCACATACATATTATACAGACACTTATATTAATTGTTTATCGAATGTATATATCACAAACATATTTCAAATATATCAAATATTCATATCAGTAATACATCAGATGTATATCATACGCATATATCAGTAGTGACTACATAGTATATCATTTGGGTCAAGTTGCCATTTTAAAATTGAATCTCCGTTTTTTTTTTTTTAAGTGCTACATTTGAAAAAACTAAATGTGGTTGCTATTATGCTAATTTTACTAATTTTTTTTTGTCATATCTGCAATTGTCCCTTTTATTAAATGTTGATTTGCATAATTATTATTGTTCTTGATATCGATGGAGATAATTGTAACAATGATTGGAATACATTATATATAACCTTTTTTTCTCGGTCATTATTGTAGACAGTTTTTTTTTTTTTTTATGTAATACTAATATTTGTCCTGAATAATTATAGATGTGTAAAGAGATAATGTACATCGATGCTTTGTATTTTTTGCAGGGTGCCATAATAGGTTCACATAAAGGGAGTTGCCGAATGTACAGCATAGAGGGTATGAATATATACACATCTCTATATTAAACTCCAATCGAGTTACTATAATAATAACAATAATAATTAATGTTGTTCTAGTTAAACTTACCAATATTATTTGGAGTATAGATTACAAATTAGAACAGAAGTACCAGGTTGATGTGCAAAGCAAAAAGAAGAATCATGCAAAAAAGATCACTGGCTTCCAAGTAATCATGTGTTCTTCTCTTCTAGCCTCCATTGTTAATTTTTCTATACGTGAATTAAGTTAAAAAGTACAACGGTCTGGTATTGGGAGCTCATTTCTTTAGATTATTTCTTTAGATTTAACTCAAAAAACTTCGTGAGTACAATACCATATATTATATATAATATAGAGTAAAAAGGTTATTTGTTTGGGGAGTTTGTAATCAGTATTTTTTATTTGATGACTAAAAAATACTGATTCAAATAATTAGTGAATATCAGTGACGATCATGACTTTTTTTTAATGATCACTGAAATTTAATCCTGAACAATTAACTTTTTTACTACCTATTATATATAAAATGGTAGTGTATTTAAAGAGTCTTTTAGGAGTAAATCTAAAGAAATTGGCTCTCGATACCAGATAAGTCCTGTGTACTTTTTTTATATGCTGTAATAACTTGGTACCTGAACAGTTTGTTCCAGGGAGCCCTACTGAAGTGCTAGTTACTTCTGCTGATTCTCGAATTCGGATCTTGGAAGGCACCGAAGTAACTCAGAGGTTTAGAGGTAATCAGGAAGAGACTATATATATATGTCCACCTGAAAGTAGAATCAAAAGCAAGATTTTTAAAGTTATCGTTCTAATTTGCCTCTATATGAAAGGTTAGAATATATATAACCTGTAAAAATTTACAGGTTTCCGAAACACAAGCAGCCAACTTACAGCTTCGTTCAGTCAAGATGGGAAATATGTGATATGTGCAAGTGAAGATTCTCAAGTATTTGTATGGAAGAGAGAGGAGCCACGACATCCAAGTTCTGGGAAAAAAGGTTTGATAGCAACCAGAGGTCATGAACACTTCCCTTGCAAAGATGTTTCTGTAGCAATCGCATGGCCTGGCATGATAAGCGGCGAACCGCCATTGGCGCAAATGAACTCCAAAAGACATTCGAAGCGCGCCCCGTCATCGCAGCCACCTTCAGCCTGCTCCTCACCTACTCGAGAAGAAAACAGCTCAACTGCAAACTGTAAGAAACAGTTGCCACCTCTACCAAAGAAAAACAACAACAAAGATGCTGGGGAGAACAACAGCAACAACAATAACAACAGCAACAACAACAATAGTAACAACAACAACAGTAACAACAACAACAGTAACAACAACAATACCTCAACTCCTCCAGACGAAGAGCCGCAGCAAGCTCAAATTACCCGCTTAGATTCCAAAGGTACTGGGCCGCAGCAAGCTCAAATTACCCGCTTGGATTCTAAAAGTACTGGTCAGCAGCAAGCTCAAGTTACCCGCTTAGATTCTAAAAGTACTGGTGAGTCACCCAGCTTATCACCTTCAGCCTCAGCCTCACCTTCAGCCTCACCTTCAGCTTCTATCAAGTATGTTGATTCGCCTTCTATTTCTTCTGCTGCAATCAACAACCCATCATCTTCAGCCTGGTCTTCCTCTTGGAACTGGTTTGATGTTGGGAACAGCCATGGTCACCATGCTGTGCCTGCTACGGCATGGGGCTTGGTAATTGTGACTGCTGGGTTGGGAGGTGAAATAAGGGCCTATCAAAACTTTGGACTGCCACGTAGGATTGGGCGACAGACTAATTTCTGGGCAACTACATAGGGGATCGGGATCGACCCACTCGACAAATTCATGATGATTTCCTAATTAGGATTGGGAATTTGGCTTCTAGTTTATTACCATATAGAACTCTTTTCTAGTGAATTGAGTGCTAGGATAGAGTTCTCTCTAAGGTATAGTGCTAAAAACGCAAGCTGCCGGGAGGTTGTTTCAAAGGCTAAAGCTGGCTGCTGTTTTTGTAGATTATTATATACATCAAATATGAACTTCAGAATAAACTTGAGTTTTTGTACCCTAACTACTAAGGATTTTTGGTATTCAACATTATCTCTACATTATGTTATTGTATATATAATACCAGAATGGTGATAACGATGGATGAATTCAGGTCAGGCAATTCAGACTTGAAAAATAAAGATTACTCAGATATAATATGAAGATTACATCCTAAAAAATAAATAAACCAAGCCTTGTAAATTGTCTCTGAGAATTTCTTCTATATAAGGTCTTGTAATAAAACGATTAAGAAACAACATACTTAAATAGCGCGACAGCAGTGATTTTCTGGAAGTTCGTGGGCTTCATCAATGTTGGCTTGCCAAGTTGCAACTGCAGATTTAGGATTATTTTCTCCCCCAAGTGAAGGCTTTTGTTGTTTTCAGAAAAATGGCGGTAGAATCACCCATCTTCTTGGATACCTCGGCCTCCCTTCCTTCCCATCGAAAAGCTGCAGAGAAGACGGCATTCAGAATATATAGAAAGTAATAAAACCACAAAACTGTAGATGCAGCCAGATAGATCCCGTTTAAATTTAATTTTAAACATTCAAATGAGGAAATAATACTAGATAGATTAGACGGCACAGTTCATAACAAGAAACCAAAGAAATATGTTCCTGATGGAACAGTATTGTTGGCAAAAGATCGATTATACAGCACAGATCACCCTACACAGGATCTGCTACTTCAAAATTACAATTGGGTTGACTCAGACTTCATTAGTTAAAGACCAAGTGCACTAAATTAAACATAAAATTTATAGGTTCCAGCATATATATTGGAATTTTAGGCACAGTAAAAGTAAAAGCCTTTTGAGATTTCAGTGGGGGCAGTGCATTTTATATGAACGAACACAAGAGACAAACAGCTAATCATTACCTTTTCCAAACGGCGGTGTTTTGCAATCGCCCATTTGCTCATTATGTAGATAGCCGCCATTACAAAAATATAACCTGCAACAGTTCGTGTCGCGATGTTGAACCCAAGCCACTGATAAATCTCAGTTGTGTAGTTGGCACAAGTTACAATATTGAAAAGGAACCCACGTGGAATTTTGTAGCCTCCCTTTCCACTAGGGTCTCTAAGATTCTTTAATATGAGATGGCAGTACAAGTTAGAGATTTGACAAACTAATCCAAATCCAAAACCAATCTTCATTTGGAGGTCATCAACTGGGGTGTAAAGTGGGTGGTTTACATAGTAGGCTATGAGAGCTCCAAAACTCCAATAGTAAGCGCAGTTGCGCAAGACATTTGACAAGGGTGAAGTTGCATGACTAAACCTATGAACAAAGAAGGTCTCCAAGATCCGCTTAGAGTAATGGAGGCACCAGTAGAACATGGCATAAGTCTGGACAGGGTAGATATGACGTTCCTCCTTATAGCCAAAGAATTTATAGACTGGAAAGTAGTAAATTGTGGGATAGATAAGGAGTGGCCCCAAATACTCCAACAAGAAGAGCGTTCGATAAGAAACCTGAGGACCAAGGTCCTTAAATGTGATGGTGAGTTTATCCAAGTTTCCATCGCAGTAATCTTGGAGTTTCTTGCTTGGAATAAGAACAACAGGCCTCTCTTTCGACCCTGGTTTGGTAGGCAGGGTAAGGCGCTGTCTAGCAGGATAGTATTTTCTGCCTGTTGAACATGAGAATATAAGAGGCCAATAAGAGATACTTCAGTTTTGGAGACATAAATCTTAGTTTCTTGAGCTAGAAAAATAAGTAAAGAGATATCCAAGGAAAATTAAAGGTATATATATAGTGTGCTCTGTAAAGAAACTACTGAAAGCTATTAAAAACACAAGGAATTGCCAGCAAGTATCGTATCAATTCATTATTTAGTAATCCAGAAAGACAATAGAAAGCTACAGCAATATATGCTCACAAGTCGGAACTAAACTCCTTTTTATCTCATCCGAGGCGTAATCGAGAACTTTGAGACCTTGCTGCACTATAAATTCTGTGATCGTTCCTAATGAGATGGATTTTCACTATGATAGAGTAAAATCAGGTGATTTAAATCTCAGCTGTTAACGGAGTAGTTTTGCGAAAATCAGTATTGCAGCAAAAAGATGCTAAACGTAACACGCCTAATTATGCAGAAACTGATGCAAAATAGTGGAGTCAGGACTTACGTCGCTGATGAATAGCCTCCTGCAAGTCGCTCACCGTAGCCTAAAAATCGCCAAGCGCAAGAAAATCACTGAATTAGAAATCTAAAAATTAAAAGAAGAAGAAGAAGAAGGCGAGATTCTGATTTTCGACTCTCCATCGCACAAAGATACATCAGAAAAAAACAAAAAAATCTTGCGCAATTCACTACAGTAACATACAAAATCCCGCGACTAAAAGTAGAACCGATCGTAAAAACGAGCATAAACAATAATGTAGCCAAGAACAATCGAAAACGAGAAGCTCACCGAATCATCGATCTGAAGGCCGCCGCTGATGATTTCTCTACCGCTCCTGGAAACAATGGAGACCTTCATGGTTGGATTACAAGTGTTGAAGAAGCTGTAGAGTGGTTATAGTATGAGCAGAGAGCGGATTCGGAGTTGCAGAGAGAAATTAAATGAAGGTGAGAGTAGAGAGATTAATGGCGTCAATAGGTGGACCACCTCCCAGTTCGTTTGTGAATTTGTTTGTTCACGTTCAATCTGCCGCCGAAGTCGGTCGGAGGGAAACGGTTGGCGGTTTGGCGGACCCCACCCGGAGCACAAAATGAACCATAAATTAAATTACATTCAACACAAATTTGTGCTATGTCCCCTCTACGCTCTAATTCTGTAGGCATCTGAATTATTGCTACATTTTAAAAGGACTTTTTGGCTCGCCAATTTTGGAAGTCTGACTTGGAATGCTTATGGTATATTAAATAGCGGGGATTTGTAATGGGTAGCATATAAGTTTTCTATATTTAACAAAATAGCATGCATTTTTGATATTTTCAGATATAACATTTTTTTGAAAATCATGATTCTAAAATTTTCAATATTCCCAAATTACCATTTTCAGTTATCGCTTCGTTATTATATATCAAACATATATCACATATATATTAGGAATATATCTGACAACATTAGTATATCAGAAGTAAATTAATAGTATATCAGAAGTCAATCAGTTCTATATCAGTTGTATAATAGTAAATCACTATTTTACCTGCTTTAACCATTTGTCTTGTATTTTTTTTTTTATCAATTAGAAATCAGTAAGTATTGGCATGCATGAGAAAACTTGATACTTACTAAAAATTAGAAAGAAAACTTGAAAGGAACGTGAATGTGAACGTCAATGGTAATTTTCGAAGTTATTGTGAATGAGAAATCAATTAGAAATTATAGGTAAATAGAAACTTAGGGTTTTTCTGTATATGAATAATATATCAGTGATATATCAAGTATACATCGTACATATATCAATAGTACAATTAAGTTTTATTTAAAGTTTTAAATATCAAAACAAAATCAGCAACAATGTCATTCAAAAGGTTTAAACATCATTATTGGGTATCAACATTAACAGCAAATCAGCAGCAAAGTCCTTCAACCAAAAACTTAAAAGTTTAAACAYCAAAACGAACCAGTAGCATAAACCAAAGTAGACTAACAATGTCATTCTTAAAATTCTATAAATGAAATAGCATAAGTTCCAACAGTTTAGACAAATGTCATTCTTGTATAATCTTTTGGTAAAAGYTTTGGACATCAATCTTCGTTCTTGGTGATTGTCGTGTCTTCGGAGATAATATCTTTGAAGCTTTCCATTTTTCCATAGACAACACTTTTAGCGTTKGTTTGTGTTGTCTTTTGGGACGAACGACATTAACATTTTCGACGATGCATTTTTATTTCATTTTTCGTGTTTGTACCATTGCTTTTATCTGAAAAAAAATTTATTTCATATATTAGTAGTATATCAGAAAACATATATTAAAGGTAATATGATCRAAATAATTGGTAGATATGATAGTTATATCATGAGTAAATCAATTTCATATCATATGTATATCAAACCTATATCTCACATATATATCAAGAGTATATCTATCAATCATAGTTATATCAGAAGTAAATCAATAGTATATCAGAAGTCCATCAGTTCTATATCATCTATAGTAGTAGATATCACATAGTTATATAAGAAGTAAATCAATTTCATATCATAGGTATATCAAACATATATCACATATATATCAGCAGTATATCTGTCAATCATAGTTATATCATAAGTAAATCAATAGTATATCAGAAGTCAATCAGTTCTATATCACCTATAGTAGTATACATCATAGTTATATCAAAAGTAAATCAACTTCATATCAGATGTATATGAAACATATATCACATATATATTATGAGTATATCTGTCAATCATAGTTATATCAYAAGTAAATCAATAGTATATCAGAAGTCAATCAATTCTATGTCACCTATAGTAGTAGATATCATAGTTATATGAGAAGTAAATCAATTTCATACCATATGTATACCAGACATATATCACATATATATCAGAAGTATATTTGTCATTCATTAGTATATCAGAAGTCAATCAGAAGTAATTTATTGTTGGTTCGGGCCTGCAGGGTATACTTGTAATTTACAACGTKGACCTCCGTTTTTTTGTGAAAAAAATGTTATATTTGAAAAACTCAAACCTTGTTGCTATTTTGCTTATTTTCCTAACTTTTTTTGCCATATCTCAAGTTGSCCCAATCTCCACCCTACATGTTATATTCAATAAATAAAAAAAGTTAATCCTGATGAAATTAGCAGGTAAATATAACGAAAACATTAACATGAAAAGGTGAAACATCAACCTTTGGAATGATACTAGATATCCTGTCCAACTGAACTATGTTAGACTTACTAACAATTTCGTAATTTTAGGAGAGTAAATGCTCTCATTGAAAGTTTGAGAGTGCAATGGTAGACAATAACTAGGTGATTTTTGCGACGACCTAATTATTTATCAGTTTAAATCATATTTTGATCTATATGAAGTTTCAATTTAACCCCTATATTTTTAATCATTATCATTTTTTGATCGATGTTTAAATTCAGCATATAATGTTGTTTCATACTTATATATCAATAATCTTWTCTTTGCCMATGYAGGAATTTGATCGTATTTCTAAAAAATAGACCAATTTTAATATTTAAAGTATATATTTAAACAATATGTTATTCGGCAAACACCCATTTCTTGATTACTATGAATTTTTTAACAAGTAAGAGTGAGGAATGCAAAAGAAAAAAAAAATGACCTTTTATGTATTTTAGAATAATAAAGAGGTGTCAAATTTCTAATTGCGATCGCAAGTTTTTTGTTCCGTTCATTTCCTAGCAAGAAGATATAGGTGTTTTTTTTTTTTGAAACAGAAGATATAGGTGTTATTATAGTTAAAAAATGTTAAAATGTAAGAGGCTAATTCAAAATTTTCTAAATAATACATATTAAACCGAAACAACACCAAAAATTAGCTAAAAAGGAATAAACCTTGATTATTATTAAACTGATTAACTTTTAAATGGTCGTTTGTTTTTAATTTTTTATGAATAATATTGATTACCCACAGCCGCAACATCGGTTCCGATGGCTTCCAGCATAAGCAATTGGTTTGTGCTTTGAAAACAGAAGGAACAGCGAGAGGCAATCTTTGGCGGGAAAGAGAAATGGAGGGAGGAGGCGGAGATGGAGATTTTAGTCCACGCGCCACCGTAGAAGACATACAGAGACGGCTGCTCCGACCTTCCTCGCTTCACTCTCCTCTGCCGACGCCGTCAATCTCGTTATTCTACTTCCTCTAATAATTTCACTCAGTAATGTTTTGAATCTTCTCGAGGCCTGAATTTTTATGAGTTCTGTTGTTTGATTCTAGGTTTTCTCGTGGCAAGGATCCTCAAAGCCGAAATTCGTTGCAATTAGAAGCGAAAGAAGGAGAAACCGTGAGCAAGAAGAAGAAGAAACTCGAAGATTACTTGGATCCGGTTCTTCTCTCTGCCTTTACTTCGAAGATCGGTCGTGCAAAGAAGGTTCCTAAGATGACGCCGAAGAAAGAGGTTGAGGATTTCTTATGGCCTGTCGACGAATTGAGGATGCTGATGGAGGACTCAGAGGTTGGAAAGGAGAAAATTGATACTGTTTATCTTAATACTGACTCCGATAATCTAGTAGAAAACGATGAAGACGGATCGGATATTAAATTCTCTACTCCGTTCCAAAAGTTTGAGCAGACTGCTTTGATACTTTTCGAATTATGAACTGAAATTGAAATTGTAACTAACAAAATGTTCACATGTAATGAATTACATAGAAAATAAAGAGTTCAGAGCCCTAGTTCAGTTTATTTGCATTTGGTACTCAATACCAATGGCCTCTCCATTTTTTTTATTCATCGTGGAAGATGAAGACGTCGACTCTGTCGTTCGCTGCTGAGAGCTGACCTCATCATCCCAATCTTGAAGGCCCTGGCGATTTAATGCGCAAAATTTGCAATTCAACATCTGGAAATGGAGTTCTCCATCAGGTACTTTTCTCAAGTACCAAATCTACATCAATAACATTTTAGACGCTCTTTTGATGAACTGATAAACATTTTATTACGAGTATGAATGCATGATCCATTAAGAAAATGAGGAATACTCTGTTGCGATCATGGAATTTGGCTGTGATAAGATAACATTTAGCGTCCTCTTTGCATAAATATTCGGTAAAATAGTTACGCCTTGTCCTATAATCATTTCGCAAAGTAATTTTTTAGTAGTCAGAAAGTTATTATTTGAACTTTGAGAATTCTGCATTGGCAGGTGAATTAGAGATATTATCACAAGAGGAAGGTAATTCTTGTTTCAGTGAAATGTTTTGGTGAGGGAGATTTTTCCCCCTTGTGATTCAAAACCTTTGATCAGTTATCTTCAAATTATTAAAATAGAAAAAAAAAAAAGGTTCATAACTCTAAGACTTTGGTTGGGTGCACTTATCATGAAAAWTTTTAGATTTTCAAGAGCATAGTTGCTTTCATATGGGTGGTGAATATTTCTGATTGGTAACATTAGCGCCTCTCTCTCTCTGTGTTAAAATAAAATACCGCACTAACTATATTTAAAAGTTTTTTGAGGTATCTCCATAAATATCTTAAATAATTATCTCTTGATTTATCCTGAAGATTGTAGATAAGTATCTAAAGAAAGGACTCTAGAAATATTTTAGCTTTTTTTTAGGCTCCAATTGATTCTAGAGAATTTATTTGGATAAATATATATCCAGAAGTATCTGGAATACTTTACAGAGGGGTAGAAAAATCTATTTACTTTGGACTCCAAGAATCCTAATCCTACACATATCCCCACATATCATGCCAGTAAAGAAAGTGAGAATGTTGTGAGAGAGCTCGGGTTTGGTGTACATCTTTGGTTTTTTGAATAAAAGTTTCTTTCTTCGAGATTATTTCTTTCTTTTTTTCATTTGTGCTAATTTTTTCTCCAGTTGAAGCTTGAGAGTAATAATTAAGAGATGTTAGAGCTGTACTTAAAATTCATTCAAAATATTTAATGAAACTAAGTTAGCCATGTCTAGAATTTTAAAACTCCAGTACATGACAAACATCGAAACACATGAGATCAAATGACTCCACATACTGACCTTTTTCAGTGAATAAAATCCTTCCATGTGAATATAGAACTTGAACTGGCTACCACGATATGCAACGTTGAAAGATGTGAGTTCTTCATTCTCAGGTCTTCAAGGGGAAAAGAAAAATTCTGATGTCATTCCCGTATTGGTTACTTTGTTATGGATTTGGTGAGTTAGTTTTTTAATAAATGAAATGACTACGTCAGATGTCAAGTTTCTATTTGTCCTCATCTGATAGAATCTTTCATAAGGCCATTTAGAGTAGTACAAAATCAAGTGGCAGCATCAGTTGATTTTATAAATGCTTGATATAACTTTTCTTATGCCCTTAGAGACTTGAATAGCTTGAATTGCTACAGCTTACTTATGTATATTCATTGCATTTGACATTATATATCTCGATATTTTTTCTGGAACTGAGTCCTCATAAGTTGCTCTAAACAAGATCTAAAAACCAAAACATGACAACTTAAGAAACCAGAGGCGAAATAACAACCTTGTCAAGTAGTTGTTCTTTGGAATCTGACCATATATGCATTATTGATTTTATATGCTAGTTTCCCATACTACTGCAGGGCTTAAACTGAAACAAAAAAGTGAAAGATAAAGGGTAAGAAGAACCATTCATAAAAGACAGGGAAAAGAAAAAGCAAAAAATTATTCTCTTGATTTTCTCAATCACTGGTAGTGTATGAGGTGTTAATATGGGGTCCTTATCATTGGTATCTGATATCTTATGATATATACTATTCCTTTGATTCTCTGTGCCTCTGCCCATTTCTGCTGCTTGCAGGCTGCATGAGCTCTATGCCTTCCCATTGCTGATGGTCGTACGCTGTCTCTGCTATTGGAGAATCATTGGGATACGAGATTTGCATTTGACTCTCCATCTTTCTTAATACTCTGCCCAAGTACTGTATATAACTTCCTTTGTTGTCGGCGCTCTGAGTTGCATTTACATGGACGCATGGAGGCATGGAATAGACTTCTCAAAAGAAAAAGGTCACCTCTATTTCATTGGTTGTTATGTTTATAAATATCAAGAAATTGATTAGCTTATGGATAAAAATACCATTCCCATTTCTTTATTTTGGTGGATTCCAACAACTTTTGTTTTTTTCTATCTGCTTCTTTTCTCTCTGCATCGAATCCGCATTTAAATTTGATTTTTATCACTTAATCTTCTCCATTTCTCAATTCTGATTCCTTTGGGTAAATTGATATCTCACTGTGAAATTCCCGTTCAAAATATAAAAAACAGGGAATAGACGTTTCCCTGGTCTTTCTGCCGAGTTTGTGGGCCTCTGATGTCACTGCAGTACGAAATTAATCTCATCGAGGCCTTTTCTATCGTCTCTTTTGCCCACCAAGCAGAAAATTCTCGGAAGAAATGGCAAGTCCT